AATTACTATTGCTTTTCTAAATGCGTGAATACCACAGGGTGATTTGTATAAAATATCAGGCACAAGTTATACATCCAGCTGAACTGTGGCCTGTGTTAACTGTCATTCTCCACGTTCATTCCTGAACTGCTATGATTTCGATTCCTCTTGCTTCAAGTTTTCTCTTGGTTTCCTCTTTTTCACTCTATGCTCACAGTGAAGAACAGATAGTTAAAATGAAAGGGGTTTATACATATAACTCTGCAATATTATGTATCTGACTAAAAAAAACCCAGGATACATCTTTGTCTTTTTAATTTCCTTTAAAAAGGTGATAATGGGAATTGTTGCAGACATCAGCCAATTAGATAAATAATGCATTGTGTGAAGGAAGCTTCTTCAAACAAACAAATATTCACATTTTCAGTAGTTATTTGAGATTTTGATAGGAAATGAAAAAGAAGTAACAGGAAATCAGGAGGCAGTGGATAATGCCTCCTTTTAAAAATGTACCAAAAAATGTCAGTGTGACCTAAGTAAAAATGCAGGCATAAAAGGGTGAAAAAATGCCTAAACATAAAAAAACAAGCACTGTCAAATATGAAAGCTGTAAGAAAAGGGGAAAATAAAGACAACTAAACATATTAAATTATTAGCTTTGTATTCACTATTGATATATTTGAACACATTGCAATTTTGTATCGTTATGCTCTTTGATTTGCAACAAGAAGTTAAAGGTGATATTAATGCCTTGAAAAATCACTGAACATACTTTAAAAAGGAAATATCCAAGATCCCCTAAGTTTTAATTACAGTCAGTTTGCCATAAAATTATGTTTGACAGACAGAAAGTGCAAGCATCACCAATGTTAGTATGATCTGAAAAAATCTTTATGAGTAGTTAGCTGGAAATATGTCTGTAGGTGGAAACATATGAAATACAGTAAGTATTCAAGGAAGAGACATTTTTTTTGTTATGCAATATTCTGCCCAGTGTACAAAGCAACAGCTCAGGAATACTTGTTCTGTAATTGTTACCTTTTTGGCAGGTTATAATTTTCTTCTGAAGCTGAAGGCACAAATCGTTGAGATGGTCAGCTTGCCAGTACTTAAGAAACACTTTTCGGACTCCTATCTAGAATACAAACAGCAGGGAAACCTTTACCGCCAACAAAAAAGGCCAAAACGATGACAGGTAAATAATGATAGTATGTATACAATCCAGCTAAGTGTTGAGATGAGATCTGCAATGTAAGAACGGTACAATGCCAGTACTTGTACAGAGAGGTAGCATCACTGGGTTGAATAAAAGATGTATTTGGAAAGGACAAGCAAGCTGTCAGACACACAGTCCCCCTTCAGTTCCCAAAACATCCAGAACAAATAATACAATCTTCAAGTTAAATACAGGTTGGAAAAAAAAAGCATTCTGAATGTAATTACGCTAATGTGTTAGACAACGTAATAGAAAATAAGGTTTAGCTTTTGTAAAGCAGGGGGATGTAGGCAAGGAGAAAGGTGGCAAGCCATAAACCCACGTGGAGCAGAAAATGGTAACAGACAGCTGCCGTCTGTGGAACAGGAGGGATTTAGCCCAAGTTTGAGGGTGGGAGAAACTCACTGCCATTAGTGAGAATGATTCCTAATGGCCGGTAAAATTATGAATCCTAGTTCCCAGCCTTGCCTGCTGAAGCTGTTCTGCAGGTCTCCTTTTAGAATCAAGCCTAAGAAGTCAGAGGCAGAGGGAGTAATTTGTGAAAAATAATCTCCTAAGCATTGACTGAGTGTATGAGCTTATTTTGGTGCTGACTAGTTGCTTGGTTTAACTCATCTGATTCTTGAGGGTCTTAATAACAATCATTAGATGCTTTTCCTCCTTTACAGAAAAATTCAGCTAGTTAGACCAAAAGAAAACACCTTCCTTTTGATACCTTCTGAACATGCTGAAACAGTCCTTAAAAATTCTTTTCTGTATAATCTTCAAAAGCATTCCTTTCTAATAGCCTTTAAAAAAACCACCACACATAAGCAAGCTACTCTACAAAGAGTAAGTAACTAAAAAAATTGGATAAATAATGAGTTTTCTTATTCCATTTTCTTCTCAGGAATTCTGTAGAAGAAACTTTCCTTCACTCCTTAGAAATAAAAGGACCAGTACCAGAGAACTGTGCTATCCTGTGAAGATTATAGCTTCTGTCTAGCTAGTAATTTTGTATGGCTAATAGGCATACTGATTAATTAATACAAGTCTGGCTGAAATTGCAGAAATTCATTCCAACTCTTGTTTGTCTGCAGCTCACAAGCTCATTCTCTTCTCATTGCACCATCCTGCTCCACTGTTGTTCTTTTAGTATAGATCTGGGAGACAGGTATCAGCAGGGAGATTGTTACACCTTTTCAACTAATTGTTTTTAATCCAAACACTATTGTCAGACGTACATCACTGGTAATGACGAACTACAGAAAGCCAGGACATATATACCATGTCTAAACTCCATTAACAAAATTCAGAAATGACTGGGGCACATTTTTGTCCCTTGGCTTCCCTTTTCTCTACTCTAGAGAGAAACTATTTTGAATCAAATGTTTTAAAAAGTCTCTAATTCTGAAATTTGAGCTGACAGACAATGATGGTGCAACTGTTAGTCTTTCAGTTAAAATCAGATGCACTCAAATGGCAAAATTACAATGCTTTCTAATTTTTTTTTCTGCTAGTATCTCTTTTCCCAATAAAATAGGCCTTTTTGTGTTATTGCAGAGTGTGTGAAGGCAAGGTGATAAAAACCACATTTTACCTGTCTTGCCATTGTAGAAACTCATAAATAGGGAATAGGCTTTCTTTGCATGGTGAAAAATGCCTGGAACAGCTATTTTAGAAAACTCTGCAGCCACAGAAATATCAGTATAACTCAGCTATTCCAGAGCAGCTCTTCTGTTCAGACCATCTATTCTGGAATAATCTTTCTGCTTACAAATTGGAGTTATTATTCCAGAACAATATTGCCTTTTCCTAAATCCTGTTTCTACAACGGTAGCTACCCTGGTAAAATGTTGTCTTTATATTTGCTTAATAGATCAGCTTGAGTGATGCCTTCCAATTTTTAACTTCATATTCATCTGAGGCAATCTCACTGAGATTTCATTGTGCTCGCGTATTCTGCTCTCAGGGACATTCTCTCATCCTCACTTTCTTGACCGCTGACTTCCAACAAAAGTTTTCACTTTTCTTCCTGTGCTTTCAAAATTCTCTCTTTGCCTGGTTGTCTTAGCGCTCTGACTTCCTTCTTCATCCATCATCTGTTCTGGAATCTGCTTCTATCCCAGGGCTTGCTAAATTCCCTCAGGAATCTTTCCTTTTATCCCCACTTCTTTTCCTCCTTATTTCATCAAAAAGTTCTGAGAAAAAGAGGTCAACCACTTTCTTCTTCAGTTTAAATTTGCTTCTCTTTTAGACATCTAATCCTGTACCATGAACAAGCAAACTTTTCATCGTTTCCCAGCAAACCATGACAATCTTCTCTTCTCTTCTCATCAAGTATTCTGTTTTCATGCCTTCAACTTTCTTCCAGGATACCACAACTCCACCTTGACTCCTCCCACCACATCCACTCTGTCACTAAACCCTGTGAATTCTGTAATAATTGCTCATCAAACTATTTTTTCCATCCATCTTGTCAAAACACATATTGAACTTTCCTTATTACTAGCTTTGGCTACTAAACCCTCCATCTTCTTGCTCATATCACCTTAAATGCAGAATTCTTCTATAAGAATAACTGAATTATTATTCATATGGTTAACTGTAATTAAATTATCATGTAGTTATTATAATTACCATTTGTATCTGAGTAGCTCTCAGACAACCAAAGCCTGGATACAAATACTTAATAAAATCATATTCTTCTCCTCTGATTACATTTTCTCTTTATACTCCACCGTTGCTTTCCACAAACCCTCTATAACACATTGGAGCCCCTTTTTTTCCCCCTCTGTCTCAGGCCTATGCCAAATCATCC